TGCAGATGGAATAAAACATTTGGCTCTGTTAGTAAATGCACCTTTTGCCACATTGAAAATTGTGGCATAAGGAAGCATATGCCTCTAGAAATCATAAAATGAAATATTCATAAATATGCTAATCTACTACAGAATGTGGCAGATAGTTTATATGCTTGCTTCTTACTTTTTACTGGTAATCAGGGTTATGAAATCTAAGAATCATAATCAAGGGCCTCCCTGGTGGCACAAGGGGTTAAGCACAGCATGGTTAAGCTATCCGCAGCCACTGCAACACACGTTTGATCCCTGGCTGGCCAGGGAGCTACCTACATGGTGCAGCAGACCTCTCCTGTCTTACCCGCTGCTCCCCTCAGCAGTGTATTTCAGTCAGTCTGCCTGTTCTGTTCTCCACTCTGTCTCTGGTGAATCCTCTCACGACCTGCACCTCTGGCCTACACCCCAGTTCTTGTATGCATAAATAAATAAATCTTTAAAAAAATCATAATCAATGTAAGAAAATGAAACTACTAGCAACAAAGTACTAGGGAACAGAAAAAACATTACGTGCAAAATGTGCAAGGAAAAAATAGGATGTGGTTTTGCTAGGAAAAAGTGTGAGGTAGGAAGGACGTGGTTGTATAGGGAAAAGAGGAATAATCTTATCTTTGTTTAAGGGTTATTTAACGATTCTTTCAGAAAAAGAAAGAGGACAAAAGCCAACATGGAAATAGAAAGTTACAGAAAGAGAAAGAAAATCTCATCTGTTCAAGCTGGCAAAAATTAGATTATCAGGGTTTTTTTTTTAAGATTTATTTATTTATCAGCATTTTAACAATGAACTTTAATATTGATATTGTGCCAATGCAAAATGAGGTTGATTCTCTTTCTGTTAAAGGGATAAAAATTTCTTGGATTATTGTAAAAACTTTTATTTACATAGTAAACACAGATTTTGTGTTTTATCCAAATATTGCCAATACCAGCTCTTCAATTACTTGGGAAAACTGAGTCTTCTTAATATTCAAAGTGCTAAGACTAGAAGAAAATAAAGAGCGAAAGCTATTTTTTCCAACTTTGTAACATACTGTATTTGCCTTTAAAATCTTTTTATTTTCACTTTGGCTAAGGAGGTAGCTAAGTGTCTAGCTATAGCTGTCAATTACTGGTTGAGTCATCAGAGAGCCTATTTACTCAAAATGTTCAAATTTTGACCTTTTTTTGACCAACTTCCCCAAATCAAATCTAAATTTTACCTCTTGACCCATGGCTGAACTTTTAGAATTAAAGCCACATATTCTGCCTGCCTGTTTGTCAGTAATTCAGAAGGTACATCTCATGCATGCCATTACCTTCCACACACGAGGGGTGACAGGTAGGATCCTAAGATGGCCCCAAGATTTCCACCCCAAGTGTGCACCGGGACAATCTTAGGTTTAGGTGGAAGATGTGAATATGATGGAATGTGAACATGACATGACTTTATATCCCAGAAGGAATGTTGCAGGTGAATTACCCTCCTCAGGGACATTTCACCCACCCCTACCCCCTCATCTTCCCTCCTCCCCAGTAGTCTCTGCTACTTTTCTATTTGTCAGGTCCGGAAGGTGCACTGGCAGGTGTTAGGCAACAACAGTACAGTGTTATCGTAATTCTGAGTAGCCAGGAAAATGTTAACCTGCCAGAAGCGCCCCACATAGTCTTCCCCTCACCTTAGTTCTCTCTTCAGTGACACTGGTCAGATATTTTGTAGAAAGTCTCTACTATCTCTGGGTTAGAATGGGTTCTGGGTTTTGAAAAAAAAAAAACAAAAAAACAACCAAAAACCAAAAAAAACAAAAAAAACCCCAACCCCCCCCCCCCCCCACACACACACACAGAGGTGAAGAATCCCCACGGTGTCAGATCAGGAGCATGTGACTCCCGGAAGACTCAACTGGTGATGCTAACTTCTAACCGGCACCGCAGGTGAGTGGCTTGGGCTAGGCGTCTCTACTCTGGTGTCAAATTACTCTTTTTCACTTTCCCTGCTCTTTGGAGATCCAGCCCACTCTCAGGGTGTGGGTGTGGGTGTGGGTGTGAAATTAAACTCCACCTCTCCCCCACCCCCTCCAGAAGAGACCGACTCACGGGAATGATTTAACCAGCCACCTTCAGAAATGAGTTTGACTCTGAGGATCCAACGCTTGGAAAGCCCTCGCAGGACAGCTGACTTGTGCGTGGCTGGTGGGGCCAGCCTTCTAGGTCACTGCTGGGCAGCCCAGGTCCTTATGATATTTGGAGGATGCCAAGCAGGGGAGGAATTTGCCCAAAGGCATCAGGGCTACAGATGGAAACTGTGAATTTTTCTGCCTCTAATTGGCAAATGCGGGAGGCTTTTCAAAATCCAAACCTTGGGCCTCCCCGATGGCGCAGCGGTTCAGCGCTAGGTTGCGAAGCTGCCCGCAGCCTCTCGGCTCCGGTTTGATCCCCGGCTGCTCCCCCTCTGCTCCCCGGCCACAGGAGGAGGGTCCCACATGGCGCTCAGACCTCTCCTGCCGCCCGCTGCTCCCCTCAGCAGTGTACTTCGGTCCTTCTGCCTGCTCTGCTCCTCGCTCTGGCTCTGGTGAATTCTCTTGCCCTCCTGCGCTTCTGACTGTACCCAGTGCTTGTATAAATAAATAAAAATAAATCTTAAAAACAAAAACAAAAACACAAAATCCAAACCTGAGCCTCCTTTGGCAAGCACTCAGCAAAATGAACTGAAGGCCTCCTGTGCTTATAAATGATCAGGACTGACCATATGAGCTCTGTCTGGGAAGGGCTTTCTTTGACATGACATTTATTTTTTACATTTAAAAAATAAGATTTATTAGGAAAAGAAAAGGAGAGGAACCTGCATAGTCACAGGTGGGCAGGAGAGCTTCCCTTTGAGTTATTTTTAACAAATGAGACAACTCAAATATTCAGGCATTTAAAAAAAGGCAATTCTATTGGTGACAATGTGAATGAACTTGAAGGACATTACAGTAAGTGAAATAAGGCAAAGAAAGACAAATACTGTATCATCTCATTTATATGTGGAATCTAAGAAAGGCAAAGTCACAGGAACTTTAGAAGGGGGGAGGTCACTAGGAGTCTGGAGGGCTGGATCAGGGAGATGCTGGTCAAAGGTTACAAACTGTCCTTGCAGAAGAGTAAGCATGTGACTGCAGTTAACAATACTGTATTGTATACTTGGAAGTTGCTAATGTTTTCACCACCTACACAAAAGGCAACTATGTGAGGTGATGGATGTGTTATTAACTGGGTTGTGGTAACATTTCACAATGGTTAGCTACACCTTAAGTATATACAATTTTGTTGATTATACCTCAGTAAAGCTGGGGAGACCCCAACATCTTTGTCTTCAGTGGAAGATGGGGTTTTTAGAGTGGTGACTTGGGACATTTTGGGGGTTTTACTTAATTTCCTTGGGCATCTATCATGTATACATGAAGTATGCATATAAAGTCTTTATTTATTTATTTTTAAAAAAGATTTATTTATTTATTTATACAAGCACTGGGCATAGTCAGAAGTGCGGGAGGGTGAGAGAATTCACCAGAGCCAGAGCGGGGAGCAGAGCAGGCAGAAGGACCGAAGTACACCGCTGAGGGGAGCAGCGGGCGGCAGGAGAGGTCTGCACCCATGCGGGACCCTCCTCTTGTGGCCGGGGAGCAGCCGGGGATCAAACCGGCGCTGCAGAGGCTGCGGGCAGCTTCGCAAGCCAGTGCTCAACCGCTGCGCCACCGGGGAGGCCCGCATATAAAGTCTTTTATTACAGGGGGTCTCCACCCCAAAACTTGGAAGGGTAGAGGGAAAATGATTTGTCCTCCCTACAACCAGTTACTTCTGTGGCTACTGAGCTCTGGAAATGTAGTTAGTCTGTGTTGAGATGTGCTATAAGTGTAAAATACACACTCCACAACTTCATATGAAGAATATAAACCATCTCATACTACGTCTCCTATCAATCACATGTTGAAATAATAATGTATCAGGTTAAATAAAATATTATTAAAAAAATTTTAAGGGCCTCCTTGGTGGCCTAGGGGTTAAGTCTCAGCGCTGTCACTGCAACAGCCCACCTCAATGGCCTGAGTTCAATGCCTGGCCAGTTAGCTGACCCATAGATGGCACAGCAGACCTCTCCTGTCTGTCTCACCTGCTGCTCCCCTTAGCAGGGAATTTCAGTAGATCTGCCTGTTCTGCTCCCCACTCTGATTCTGGTGAATCCTCTCACCCCCTGAACCTCTGGCCTACACCCGTTATTCTATACAAAAAACCAACCAGCCAACCAACCAAAAAACCCCAGATAAACTAAAATGGTGAATTGTAAAAAAAAAATTTTAATAAAAAATATATTTTTTTTAAGTAATAAAGTTGGGTGGAAAAAAAACGTACAACTATCTCTCTCAGTCCTGTGAAAAAGTCAATTTTACCACTGTACCATCATGTCAATATCCCTGATGCAAATATCTTTACATTCTTCCTGGAACATCTGATGAATTTCCTTACTACTAATGAATGAAATGACACCTTTAATATATATTCATACTATATCAGTTTAAGAATCATGATTTTTTTATATCTGAAATTTATCCTATAACATGCCCTGTGAGCAAGTGCCTCAGCCTAGAGCTCCAGATTTTGATGCTGGCTGGCCTTTGCATAGTCTGTTCCTCTTTCCTGGCTCACCATCATTCTCCTCCCCCGCCCCCACCCCTACTCCCAATACATTCTTTGAAACTACCCAGACAAGTTCCCTGCTTTATCCTCTGGATCACCCAGTGTGGGGTTAACAAGTGGGTGGCAAGGGATGTTTGTCGAGTTAATGAATACATTTTCTGCCTAAGGAACTCCTACTCACCCTTTAAAACCCAGCCCCAATGTCCCTCTTCTCTACGCAGAGCCTTCATTTCCACTCTAGGCTCTTCCAGCCCTAGCCCATCTCTGCCCTCAGGGGGAATATCTGTCTGCCTCTGCATCCCTTTCCACAAAGACAGAATAAGGGGGTTGTAATGTTGTAATGAAATCACAATATCCAAAGGTTTATTAAAGTTGTTTCAATATAGCACCATTTTCAAGAGGCAAGATTCTTGATCTTGGGGCAGAATTTTGAGTTGGGGCTTCACAGAATGTACAGAAGTTATCCAGTGATGAGCAGTAGCTGGTGAAGAGTTGGGGGGATACCAAAAATGGGGTCAGATGGGCTCTTACTCTTGCTGCCTTGGCTCACTCCTGGCTGTCACTTGAGGCATACTTTCCTGGGGAAGGAGGCTGTGACTTGACAGACATCTGGCTTCTCACCCTGGAGGGAATAGTTTTGAGTTATGGTCTTAGAAGGAGACCCTACCACCCACCAGCTGAATCCTTGTTCCCCTTCCAGCTTACCTGATACAACTGGCAGACCACGCTGAGGAGATGGCTCTGATCAGTCAGGGGTTTCTACGCAAAGCAAGACAGGAGACCACATGATCCCTAGCCAACTAGGGTGCCTGGCTCAGGGGAGGCTGCAAATGACCCCGTATTTGGCCCCTGCCTCCTGCCTCCCAGACAAGATCCCCGCCCAGGGGCTGCACTGAGGGTTCCAAGAGTTCTTACCCCATTGACGACGACCCAGGGCACATATTTGTGGGGTGGCTGCAGAGCGTCAGTAAGTTGGGCGTTGATGTGCAAGAGCTGCATGCCACGGTCCCCCATTGCACACTTCATGATGGTGTCTGGGGACACCTTTGGGGCATAGACTTGCAAGCACTGTGGGTAGGGTGGGGGGTTGCCGTAAGCCAGAGCCTTGCTTCAGCTTCCTCCCTGTTATCTCCCTAACGGTCCCCCCCACGCTACTCCCCTAGCCAAACTTCTGTTACCTCACTAGCCATAGGGGACAGTTGAGGTTTACAGCAGTGCAAGAATTCTCATAAACATAAGATGCTTAAGACATGCCTGACTGGAGCCCCAGAGGTAGGGGTCCAGGCTGCTCCTGTTTCCTATACGACCAGACCAGTAGTCCCTGACACCTACATTGTCTCATTTTCTTCAGAGCTTCCATACATGCTGTTCCCTTCACCAGAAATACTCTTCCTCCACCTTCCCCATCATCTCTTGAGTGCTCCCTCCTCCTCTGCATTTCATTAGCACCACTATGACTCTGTGGGGCTTGGGGTACCTCAGGTGGCCTGGATGTTTGATGAATGAATAAATGATCAGAACCAGTGAGTCACTCTTTTGGGAATTCTTTTTCATAATCCTTCAGGCCTGCCTTGTCATTTCTATCTCTCAGAGAAGGATGAGCATCTGTGTCCCTGTATATTCCTGTTTATCCAAGCTCAGCTTCCTCCAGGAAGCCCTCCCTCATTTATCCATGCCCCAGAAAATTTTCATTCCCTCCATTCTGAGATTGATACTTCAAAACGGAAAGCTGTTTTCCTGGGCTACAGAGTGGTGGTCAGGGGTCAGGACTTGAACCCGGATTTATAGGGATGCACAGAAGGTGAAAGTTTCCCATCCTGGGCCCAGTGAGGGTATTGCTCACCGGCTTCAAATTTTGCTCAATGTCCTCCATTTCTTCCATGCAAACAATGGTCATGAAGGCCACTGTCTTGTCCAGCTGGTCCAACAGGCAGGCCTGGGGGTGGATGGGCAACGGCATAAGGGGAGTAGAGAGCACTCCAATACTGCTCGGGGAATAATAACAGGCACCACGTATGAAGCAGTGAATAAAGATGTGATTAAGTGGAGGCACATGGGCAGAGGATGGGGCTGGTCCCAGTCCCTCTGAGACTGAGAAAACTGCCAGGGTTTTCTGAGAAAACTCCCTGGCAGTTTTCTCAGTCTTGATAAGTCCCCTCACACCCTTTATCCCTCCTCATACCTCTTTCTTTGCCTCCCCGCCCCGCCCCCCCCCCTGCTGGGAGGCACTTACCTCCACCTTGTTCAGTTTACACTCTAGATCACCATGCTGACACGTGAACTCCCACTTGCCACTGACATTCCTTTCCTGCAAGGCAGGGTTTGGGGTAAAGTGCTGGCTGGCCCATCTGGTGCCCACTTCCCTGGGTGACTGCCTGTTTCCCCCTCATCCACACACCTGGGCGTTCCCGTAAGGCACCAGTGTGACATTGAGGATCTCCATGACCATCAGCCATGTAGGGAAGAGCTCTCGGACAAGGAAGTACTGGCAGCCGGGGCACAGAGCTTCATAGTAAAGACTCACGCTGACAGGCTCTGGGTCAGGCTTCCAGCGGGGGCGCAACAGACACAAGTCTTCATCCTGTTCAGGAAGAAGGTGTGTGAAGCCAGTGAGCCGTGCTTGGTACTCTTGTAGAAAGGGAGCTGCCAATAGTGGGTGCTCCATCTTGCACTCCTTCCAGAATTTGCTAGGAATTCTACTATGGTTCCTTAAATCTTCCTAAATCTCAGTCTGTCTGCTAAACAAACCTTACAAGGACTTGCAAACATAGGCACTTAATGTACATGTACATGCAGCTTGGTTTTCCTCTGAGTGAGGGGAAAACCTAGCCTAGGGGACTGTACGCAGTAAGGACTCAAGGCATGTGCGGATCTGGTGGCTGCTCTCAATCCTGTGTTCTTGGGAGTGTATACCATAGGAGATGAATGCATGCTTTTTTCTTGCCACTTTTGCCCCCAGCTCTTGGCATTGAGTTGAGCAAGCCCTAGACGGAGGCTGACTCCGTATTTATTCTTGCTCTCAAGGGGCCCCATGTACCCCTCCCAAGTCCTACTGCAGAGGCGCCTAGTGCTGCTGACTTCCGGCTTTGCTGAGAGTGGCAGGTGGCCAGAGCCTCTGGTACTGTGAGCAAGCCTCTCAGCCTTTGAGGCATCTGCTTACTCCACACCAGAAACATGCCAGCTCTGTCCTGTCCCAAATGCATACACACTGTGAGCGGCACTTAATGAATGTCAGTGGCTGCGGGCGGCTGCTTAGCTTGTCTGGGCTTCCTTCCCCTGGCCCCACGAAACCGTGATTCTCACTCCAGTGCTCCAGCTGTACACAGGAGGTACCCAATGAGCCCTGGGGTGGGGACTGCAGGGATAGGGTAGGGGCAGCTGACTGGCACATGAGGAAGTCTCGACATGGAAAAATAAAATGACTCTGAGAGTGGCTATGGTGCCAGGAGGTTGAGGGGGGTGCTTGGGGGGTATTTTGGCACCGACAGTGATAGCATCTCAGCCCGCTCTTTTTTCCTACAAGTCTAGGGACAGGGGAGGAGCAGCTAGCCCCACCCCCACTCCCACTTCCCGGTTGTTGTCCCTACCTTGCAGGCGGCCACCCCCTTTGGGAGTGTTTCCATCCGGGACGCCCAAGCCACCTGGGGAATATCCAGCAGCAGCAGCGGCAGGAACAGCGTGAACCGCAGTGAACAGGCCATGACCGTGGCGGGCAAAGGTACTGTGGCAGGATCGCCTCCCCTGGGAAGGAGCTGCCTTTAAGGCGGCAGTGGCCCAGCCCCCAGGCAGGACCGCCTCCCAGTGCCCACGCCCCTTGCACGGGGCTGACAACTCCCTGTGTGTACTTTTCTCTGGGTCTCCCTTTCTGACAGCCCGCCCTTCCCCACCGGGCCCCATGTTTTGAGGCACCAGCGGCCTGGACCCAGCCCCACCCCACCCCAGCATCAGCCCTGTCAATGAGCCCTGGCTGCTCACTGCACCGGGTGGAGGTGAGGTTGGGGCTGTGGGGACAGAGACACCGAGAGATGGGAGGGTCGCCACGTGCTCACTGACCCTTCTGGGGGTGGTAGGAGTAACCCAGTCTCCCCTCTACCTCCAGTCTGGGACCCCATGTCCCCACCCTGGACTAGAATGGGAAGCAATCCCCTGAGAGCAGACCCCTGCCTCCTGGTCTGCGACTCTCATCACTCCCAACTTCACCCCTTCCCCACAAAGACCTGTCCCTGTCCCTCACTCCTCCCCAGCTCTGGCTCCCTGGGACCTACCAGAGCCGACTGACAAGGCTGACTCAGGCTTGGCCATAGCTGGACCAGAAAGCAGAAGCCAGAGCAGGGAGGGGTGCCTCAAGTCTCTTGCTTTCCCCCCTCCCCTGCTGGAGCGGGGTGGGGCAGGGGAGAGGAAAACTGGCGTTTCTCCCTTCCTCCGTGAGCTGAGGGTAGTGGTGGATGGTGGAGGCGATCCTCAGTGAGCTCCTGTGGTGGGAGAGCAGCCCAGTTCTAGTAATTACTTGGAGCCTGTGGGGGTGGGGTAGAAGTCAACAGACCTGGCTTTGCCCCTCTCCTCTTCCCAATTGTACTGGGCACCTCAATTTCCCCTTTTATAAAATGGGACAAAAAAGTTTGGAGAATGAGCCACCCAGGAGCACTCAGAGGGAGGAGCAGGGTAGAGGGTGGGGGTGACACGGCTGGGCTTAGGATCTGAGAATGGTGTAGGGTATTGAGGGAATGAGGGAGCCCTTCAGACTCTGCAGGACCCCATGTCGGGCATAATATGGGGCTAGGTCCCACGAAGATGCCCAACCTGCTTGCAATAGTTTCAGCTCAGAGCTGCAACTCCAGTGCCAGCATCGCCAGGAGCATGTCCACCGTCAGAGGCAGTTTGGGAGCTGGAGTTTCCCTAGTGCCCAAGGCTGGGCAGCAAGTGCATCCCACCTCTTAGGCTTTAACAAAGACTGAGCAACACAGCTTTGGGAAGTTAGCGTGTGCCCCTGTGCCAGGCAGGCAGGAGGAAACAATAATGTACAATTTCCCAGAAGTTATTAGGCACCAAGGGGTGGCTTCATCAAGAAACTTCAGGAAGCTCCCGTGATAGGATTCCCAGGCATTCCACTAGGGTAGGGGCACCAGTAATTGACTCTGCTCAATAATAAGCAAAATGATGACTTTGAGAAAATAAAGTAGAGGTTGGAGGGCTGTTATCTCTGCTCCCCAGGGTTAGCAGGATAGAGTCATGGGTTAAGGTGACCTTTTTCATATCTGTTCACAGGACAGGAGAGACTTAGTTACTTATAGAGAAACATGGTTGCTTACAGAGAAAATCCTGCCTGGGCACACAGCCCCCCCAGTGCTTGAGGAGGCTGCAGGACCCTTAAGTTAAGCTCCTGTAGCTTTGGGCTGAGCAGAAGCAGGTCAGGGGCAGTTGCATTTCCTGGGGCATGCCTGGCCACATGCTGGGTGGGAAGAGTGGAGAGCAGAGGACCAGGAACTTGGATTGGGAAGGAGGATGGTGAGCAGTCCAGGTCAAGGTCATGGTGGGGACTCAGCTCATGGTCCCATGGGTGTCAGGGCCACATATGAAGGCAGTCAGAGGAGGGGCTGGCATCAAGACACAGGACGCCCCTCTGGGTCGCATAAAAAAGGTTGTGAGCACTGACCCCAGCCGGCACTGAGGAAGACACACATCAGAGGGGAGGCGAGGGCCCAGCTGGTGGCCCAGTGCTGGGAGTTAGACGTGGGTGGGGGATGGGGCTCAGGTTTGAGCCTCTCTGTGACCTTGAATAGCTTTCTCAACTTCTCAGGACTCCAGCAGCTAAAATGGGGGCGGGGGATGTTAGCCTTCCTTGGTGGCCTGGAGCTAAACTGCTAGCTGAACCTACGGGTGCTCAGGAGTGCCAAGACCCACTGGTGACGGACCAGTCCCACCGCCGACAAGAAAATCAGCCATCATGGTCAATGTCGTATCTCCGTTCGATGTTTATATCCGTATCAATATCAACGTACCATACAAAATCTGCCTGCCAGCCTGGCCGGGCAGGGGATGAGGGTCTGCGGGCACTGTAGAAAACCGGGCTCTCATCCCAAAAGAGGAGAGAAAAAAGGGTTTTACAGTCAAGGAAAAGTAAAATTCAAATCCAACAACAGTGAAAAGCCTTGACTCTGCACGGTGTGGAGCAGCCACAGGCAATGGTATGGTTCATCCTCCACTTTTGGGGGCCAGGGCAGGCTGGGTCAGCTCTCGCTGGTTTATTTTTGTTTTCTCTCTGGGGGTACTTCTCAGTAACTGGGGGATAACCCGGTGGCGGGTTTCACTTCAGGATTTGGAGGGGAAGTTGGGGTCTGTGGGGCGGGTCCCGCCCGGCCCCAAGTGTCAAGCCGAAGTTCTTGGAAGCAGCTGAGTGAAGTTCCTTCCTGCCCAGACCCCTGGTCTATGGCTTAAAAATCGGGGCACCCTGGCTGGGGCCACCCAGCCCAGGAGCCTCTGTAAACATGGTGGATGCAGCCAGGTGGGACTCGAGGGAGCCCGGGGCCTGTGGTGGGCAGTGCAGAGTCGGGGGGCTGTGGGAAGGGCAGTGCCCATGGGGGAGGAGGTTGGGGGGTGGAGGAAGTGGGACCCCCAACAGGGAGACACAGAAGGACAGAAATCAAGAATGACAGGGAGAGAAAAGGAGACAGAGAACAAGAAAAACTGAGACAGAGAGAGAGAGAGGAGAGATGGAGAGAGGAGAGAGAGAGGGAGGTGGGGCTATAGACAGAGAGACAGGCAGACACAGAGAAGAAAGGAAAAGAAGATAATTACAAAGACAGAGCTGGAGAGAAAAAGAGAGAGACAGACAGAGAGCAAAGACAGAGACCCAGAGAAAGAGAGCCGGGGAGGAAAAGAGACAGGGAAAGACCTTTGAAGAAGACAGACGAACAGACAGAGAGGTGGAGACCCGGTCTGTCTTGGTCTGAGCTGGGTCTCCTGGTGTTGAGCTGGTCAGCGGGTGGCGGGTGGGGGCCCGGGGCCAGGGGCGCGCACTGGATGGGCAAGCGTCACGGTGAGGGCGTCGTTGTGCTGCACCAGCGAGGCGTGCTGGTAGTGCAGCACCAGCTCCTTCAGCGACCCGTACAGGTTGTAGGGCTCTGCGAAGCCAAAGCCCGTGGCTGTGCGGTAGATGACGCAGTGTTTGGTGTCACCGTCCACCCTGAGGGCATGGATCAAGGGGTGGGTCAGATGGGTCCCCACAGGCTCTCCCAGCTGGATTCTTCCACTTCCCCTGTGGGTGGGTGACCCTTGCCAGGACTGGTATTCCCCATTTCTTGCAACCCACCCTGATCGAGATGCCTCTGGATATTATCCCAGCTTCCTCCCCTGTCCCCAACATTCCCTTCTCCCTGGGGCAGTCAGGGGTGGCTTGTTCCTGGCGGTTTTCCTGAGGCCTAGCACAGTCAGTGCACAATGAGAGCTCTAGAGAGAGGTGCAGGTTCCCCCAGGCCTTCAGACCACTCTGGGCCCCCCCAACAGAGCACTCACACCACAGAGCAGGCATAGCAGCCCCGCTGGCTGCTCTCACGGATGAGGAAGGTGCCGTCCCGCTTCCCACTCAGCATTTCCTCAGCCTGGGTGCGGTTGATCTTGCCCACATACCACGTGCGCTCCTCGTGGTGGGGAAGATCATCCTCATCCTCCATCAGTGCATACTGGCTGCACGGGAGGAGGGAAGGGCCCTGGTCACTCATCCACCAGCATTCCAGGTCCCTCTGCTGCCTGGACAACTCTCCCTCCTGGTGAACTCCTACTCATTCTTCAAAATCCACCCCAAACGGCCCCTCCTCTGGGAAGCCCTCCCTGGGAAGCTACCCTCCAGGTGGCCACTCACTCTTCAGTCTCGTTTTTGATTCCCAACCACTCATTGATTTTCTTCTGTCGGGCACCTTTCTGGGTGAGCCACCTAGGCGAAAAGAAAAGGTAGGCTGATCAGAAAATGAGACAGTAGCAGAGGCAGGCAAGTCCACAGTGGATCTGCCCAGTTGCAGGCTAGGGCTGACCTAGAAGTGAGGGTTTCAGTGTGATATCCCTGGGTTGCCACAAGGGGTCAGCCTGAATACAGGAGGGATCCCCAGCTCTGCCAGGAAATACCCCACCTTTATGATTCTGTTTCAAGCTCCCAGAACAAGTCCTCCTGGCAAGGGCTGCATGCTGTGCGGTTGGCCTTTGCCCAGGGTAGCTATCCTGTACCTCAGTTTCCCTGTCCTGTGAAGGGGAAACTTTACAAAGCACCTGGAGAGGACAGAATGAGTAAATGTGTAGAGAGCTCGGCACAGCAGTTGGACATAGTGTGGAGGCGCAGGCAGGAGAAGAAAGCCCTTGCCAGGGTCTGTAAGGGTTAGTACGCAGAGGCGGGATCTGAGCCGAGGTAGCAGCCCCACTGTGTGAGGGTTACACATTCATGGAGCAGATCCTGTGGAAGGCTCCAATGACTCAGCCCTGTGGGAGCAGCACTCCCATTTCACAGACTATGAGGCTGAGGGGGACCCATAAGGAGCCCTCCAGGGGGCTGGGAGGGCCGGTGCGGGGGGTGGGGGGGGGTGGGGGGGGGTGGGGGGGTGGGGGGTTGGGTGGATAGGAGGAGAGGACGACTGGAGGAGAGGGGAGGGGCTGTGGAAGGAGACGCCTGCAGAAATGACATCCCAGGGACCCCTGCACTGAAGGGAGACCCACAGGCATAGGCACTCACACGAGGTACTGATCTCGGATCTTGCGCAGCTGCATGAGGTCTGGCTTGAGGCTGTTCATGCGCTTGTCGATCTCCCGGTTGTCTGAGGCCTGTGCCCGCAGCTCCTGCTCCAGTTTTGTGCGGCTCTCGTGGATCTCAGCAATGCGGGACTTGAGCCGCTCAGAGTTCAGCAGGATCCTTTGGGGGAGTGGCACAGAGGTTACAGATGGTTCCCAGCTTCTGAACATGCTATCTCCACAGACTTCTCTTTCTGGCAAACTCTTCATCTTCAAAGCCCATTTCAACTGACCCCTTCCCCCTGGCACTCAGCTTGCCCCTCCATTTCCTTCCTTTCCCCACATGTACTGCACCAAGTCAGGGTGGGGTGAGGCAAAGGGGCGAGACTCACCTCTGCATCTCTTTCTCATTGCCCTCACGCCGAAAGCGTTCCAGATACTCCTTGCTGCACTTCTCTTGTGTCTGACCCTGCTCTTCAAAGATCTTGATGGTCTCATTAAAGGCCTCGATTGCTGTGCGCTTCATCTGCAGTTCCTGGAGGAAAGGGTGAATCTCAGCAACTCCTGGAACTTCCCACAAGTCCCTTATGAGGGGTGAAGGCAAAACCCAACTCTGATATGGAGCCTTTGCACAGGCCATGCACATCACCCCTTCAGTTCCTGCTGTACCACATGAGCTCCTATTGATCTTTAAGACCTCGTTCCCTCTTAAGATTATCTTTACAACCACCTGAACCTCTTAGCACTGCTGAGAATTACTAAATCTAGTTGCTACAGTTCATGGGGCTCTTTCTTGTGGCAGATGCTAGTAATACAATGAACACGTCTGTAGGCATCGTCTCACGATGCTTTGCAGCTCCCTAAAAAGTCTGAACTACTAATAGGGAAGCTGAGGCTCAAGGGACCTAAGTCACTTCCCAGGTCATCACGATGTTCTTAACTGATCCTAACCCAATGTCTTGTCAGTACCTCAGTGATCCATCAGTACAAAGGGACAAGAAAGAAACTCCCTGGGAGATGAAACAATTCTTAGCCCAAGACCAGTCAGTAAGTCTGAGGAAGCTACATCTCAACTTGCCACAGAAGTTTAACACAACCCTGAATGATAAAACCTCTCCCCTTCCCCGTTTTAAAAGATGCTCTTCTTTCCTGTGACCTGACCCTCCGTCTCCACCTTTTGTCAGGTTAGCACTATCATTTTGAGTAGCATTCTGGCCTAAGGGGATGGAGAAATAACTAAGACCCACACTTCCAGCTTCCAGGAGGGGACTCTGAAGCCTGAGAAAGAGACAGCTCCCAGGCCCTGGGTGCAGTTACTCCTGGGAGGCTGGTTGGGACCTCTCCTCTGTCCTTTGGTCTTCCCCTCCCCTCACCTGATTAAAAACCATGTACACTGATTTCTATGTTTTTAGAACAGTCCCCAGTGCTCAGTGACTGCTTTGCGACCTAGAAGCAGACAGTAGTCCCTGTGGCCTCACCACTGCCCCATGGTTCTGGGGTGCCACCTGTGTGCAGGCCGTGGTAGTAGGGGTGGTGGTGCATGTGTGCCTACTTGGGAGGTGCGTGTGTATTCCTCGTAGAGCTGGTCATACTCGCGGCTCTTGTCCTGGTACTGCTGGTGGTAGACTTTGAGCTGGGCGCCCACTGCCTCCACACTGTCCTCCTTGACGATCTGGTCCTGGGGATACCCGGTATGATCAGAGAAACTACCTGAGAAACAGGCCCCGGGCTGGCCAGGTGCTGCCCTCCCCAGCTCTCGCCCCTGCCCCGGACCTGCTGGTACTTGGACACGGGGTACAGCAGCCGCGTGTCCAGTTTGGCGTTGTACTGGGCCAGCGACTCATGGCGGTAGTGGGTGATGAGGTCCACCACAGAGCAGAAGGTGAGAGGCTCTGAGAAGCCATAGTGCCCATCTCGGTGGAAGACCTTGATCAGCTTGTTATTCCCACCTTTCCTAGGAGCGGGTAAGAAAGCATATCAGTGCCTGACTCCCTGATCTCCTGCCCCGACACCACACATATCCCACTCTCTGTGCAACCCTCAGTCCTTCTGACCTCAGAGAATTCCTTTCTATCTCTCACCCCCAGTTAACCCTGCGAGACTGGCCCCTACCTGAGGGTCAGCGTGTACTCCCCCTGGATCTTGCTGGATGCATCTCGGACCAGGAAGGTGCCATCAGGTGTGTCCCGGAGTTTCTCATTTACCTCCTCCCTGTGGGGACACCCAGGATGGGGCCACGTGCCAGAGACCCTGTTTTTCAGGCCCTGCCCACCATGTGCCACCATCACCTTCCTGCCCTACAACCTTACCTGGAGATGTCACCCCAGTACCACTCGGCATCCTGCAGGGAGGGTGGGCTTCCCCCATTGGTGAGGACTTGGGGGGCTGGCTTTGCCTTAGGGGGTTTAGGCGGCAGTGCTGGGAGACGGGAAAACAAATATAGCAACTGTATGCTGTGTCTGGCTCCCACTACAACTCAGCCTGCTGATACTGGCATAGCCCCGAGTCAGCACTCATGGTGCTCCAACAACAAATAATAATATGGGAGGGGTCACCTGGGGGTGCGACCTCTTGTTCCTCCAGATGTTCCTGAAGCAACTTCTCCACCAGCAACACAGGGAAGTCGGGGCTAGGCTCAGTCCTAGGGGTGGGGGAGTGCAGTGAGCTTAGCAGGATGGTATGCACAGTGCAGCATGTGGTCCTGCACGTATTTCACACCTGGGGTACATGTGAAAGCACGTGCAGGAACAAAGGATGACACAGGCAGGTGTGTGGGCCAACTCCTGTTTATGAATACTCAGTAAGTGCTCAGTAAATGACATACAATGAACAAACAAGAGTGCAGCACCAGGGGTGGGGTCAGAAGCCAAGGGGGTCTTCCCAGAGCCCAGGCCCCATCCTTATTATCTTACCTTAGCTCATTGCACAGCTTTAGCTTCTGCCAACCCCCACTTCCTCCACTGAAAGCCCCACCCCAGTGCATGGCAGGTTGAATTCTCCACTCCTCTGCTAGCGTTTCTCATCATGGTCTGCAACCCTCAATGGCCAAGCTCCTTGGCTCCTCTACTTCCTGTCTAAAGCAACATCCCCATGGCTGGGTGCTCACCCATCTGGCGCGCCCCCTGCTGCTGGTGGTGGGGCCTGCAGCAGCAGTGGCCCGAAGGTGGTGCCCAGGGCTCGCAGGGCCAGGTTTGGGGATGGGGATCGTCTGGCCACCCGGCCCAGGTGCTGAAGCAGGAAGCGCAGCGTGAGGGCATGGTGCAGGGTCAGCGTTGGGGGCTCCAGTGCTGGCCCCACTGGCCCTGAGGACTCTGCAGATGGATGACCAGGGCCAAGTGAGCTGAGGTAGAAACTTGGCAGCTCCAGCCCTCTCCCCTAGCCAGACTCCCTGCCAAGCTTACCCCGGAGGACCCGGTGAGCCTCAGCCACAGCCTCAGGTGTCAGGAGGGGTGTGGGAAGTGCCAGCAGGAAGCTTTTGACGCAGTCTGATAGGGCTGCCATGTCCAACTGCTCGAGATCACTCAGGGTCCAATCTGTGGGGGCAGAGGGACATGTTGGCTTGGCTGGCTCCTCACCCACCCTGCCCTTTGAAACTTCCCCTCACCTGTGCGTGCGGCAGGCAGCTCCGGTCTGTACAGGAATTCGCTGTCCAGTCCTGGGGGAAAGGGGTCGGGGTGAGTCAGCTCCACCTCAGGTGGTAAGGCTACCTCTCAAATGCGACCAAGACCCCATGAGGTCCTGGGTGGCTACTTAACCTCCCTTAGTCTCACTTTAGAGTTCAGAGATAAGTGCAGGGCACAGGAGGGAGATGGTGGCAGAAGGCACAGCACTGCAATAGGGAGTAGGCTGTGGTGTCCACATTCCCATTCCCCTGAGAATCACTCCTCCCCCAGGTCAACATGGAGGCCCAGAACATCCTAGCTAAGCCTTCTTCCAGGCAGAGTGAGACTAGAAGGCCTGTGAGGGGATGAGCTGCCCATCACCAGAGGTAAGCAAGCAGAATCCAGAGGTTGCAGCCAGGCTGAGGCTCACCTGTCCGCTCAATGGCCTCCACAAGCTTCACTAAGAGGGGGGGTGCCACGTCAGGTGGGGAGAACTGTTCAGGCAGGTCAGGGAGTATGAGGCCTGGCAGGAGAGAACAGTATGTTAGCAGGGTTCCTGGAAGGACTCCAGCCCTTCACAGGGTAGATCCAGGTGCCTGGTTCAGGCCAGTAACCAGCATTGTGGCTCCCATCGTGGGGGCTGGAGGAGGTGGGAGGGCTGAGTTTTTGGGAAACAATTTTTTGGGTTAAAATCTAGTTCATACAACTTCAGAGGTATTGATTAGTTTCCCCAAATGATACGGCCACATCCTTACCCTCAGTATCTATGACTGTGACCTTTTTTTGAAAGCAGGGTCTTTGCATTTGTAATTAAGTTAAGCATTCTGAGACCAGATCGTCTTGGATTTTGGGCCCTGCATTCAATTACTTATATCTTATAAGAGACGATGTGACCACAGAGGCAGAGACTGGGGTAACACAGCCACAAGCCAAGGGACACCCGGAACCCTCAGAAGCAGGAAGCAACAAGGAATAATCCCCCCAAAGCCTCTGGAGGGAGTGTGGCTGTGCAGGCACCCTAATTTTAGGCTTCTGGTCTCCAGAGTAGTCATAGGATAAATTATTATTTGAAGCCCCCTGGCTTGTGGAAACTTGTTACAGCAGCCCCAGGAAACTCATACAGCAGGTTTGGGGCTCTGCCATCGGTCACTGTGCAGACTTGGGTACAGGACCAGTCCTTTCCAGGCTTCAGTTTCCTCAACTGAGACACTGGCAGATGTGACACCTCTCCATTCTCAGTGGGAACAATGAAGTGGTAGAAAAGAATAAATGGAAAATAGTTCTCATCTGGGTCAGAACATCTGATTCCAAGGACCTTTCTCTATTTTCTAAGTCATTTTCCTCTCTACCCTTTCTGAAAAAGCTGGAAGCCCTCCCAAGCAGGTCTAGGGGTCTCCCTGGTCTGGACCCCTCCTGTCACGTTTCCTGGTCCACGGGGCCCTTTGTGCTTGGGTGCCTTGGCCTGCGTCGCCACCATGTGCTATGGTTCTGGCCCTTGGCAGGGACGCTCTGGCACACAGCAGGGGCAAGCTGGGGCCTGTGGGCCTCTCTGAGTGATGGGCCAGGTGGGGCCTCAAGTTGGAGAGAGGCCCAGCTGTGTGGAAAATGCCAAAAAAAATTTTTAAAAAGAAAAAACAAGCAAAGAGGAGAAAAGAAGGCTGTGTGTGTGTGTGTGTGTGTGTGTGTGTGTGTGTCGGGGGGGGGGGAGGGTTGCCACCAAGTTTCTGAATCTCAGTTTAAACTTGCTTGTGATCCATGTGTAACAGGCATCATTCCCATTTTAGAGAGGCTGAGAGAAGGAACAACATTCCTTTGGGTGCACAGCTGGGTTGGGGCTCCAGCAACATTGGAGTTCTACACTTCATACCCTGTTTGGGGCTGGGGGAAATGTGTTGGCCTTAGCATGTTTCCAGGTGCTCCCAGGACCCTGGAAGTGCAGAGATCAATGCTCCTGTTTGTAGATGAGGAAACTAAGCAGGGGTGTCCCACAGCCCTGGAGGTTTGGAGGGCAGGGCTGGGCCGCCAAGCAGAGCAGGGAATGTGTGGTGGCTGAGCTGAGGCCAGGCAGAGGAGGCGGTGCTGTTACCAGGGGGAGAGGCAGATTCTGGCTGCCAGCCCGGATGGGTCCGCCTCTTGCCCCTCCAGCCCAGGCAGGACAGGCAGATGCAGGCCTGGGTCCTGGAGACGCCAGATGCTGCAAGGCCCAGCCAGCACCATGCCGAGTCAGCAGCCCCATCCCACCCTGTGCTAGGGGCTTTGGGCATCAGAGTTCCTCTGGCACTGTGCCCAACAGGCCATTGGTAGGGGCCTTGGGGTATGATCCCGCACCTTGTCTTCCTGTCAGTACATGCAGCCTCTCATCACCTCCTCCCCACCCCTGAGCTTCAGCTTCCCCAGTTGGAACCCACATCCTTGCCCAGCACACAGTTAGAGCAATGCCAATGCCACTGAATCTCCACTCCCAGCGCACCCCTTACAAGTGGGGGATAGTCAAGGATCTTTGGTCCCTTGTTGTATTGTGTAGACTTAGTCTATCCTCTTTGGGCTTTGGGATTCCTTTCATCTTAGAAATCATGTACAATCAGAGTAACACGGGATCCTCATTGCATCCTATCTGCAAACTGCAGGATGTGAAGCTAAGCTGAGCCTCTGAACAGTCTGAACACTGAGTTTTACTGAACACTCCCCATTATCCTCAAAATCCTATGAAGCTGGCCCTCCCTGGTGGCGCAGGGGTTAAAGTCTCAGTGTTATCAAGCTATCGGCATGAGTTCAATCCCCAGCCAGGGAGCTAACCCACATGGTGCAGCAGACCTCTCCTGTCTCATCCACTGCTCATCTCAGCAGTGTATTTCAGTAGATCCGCCTGTTCTGCTCCCCACTCTGTCTCAGGTGAATTCTCCCACGCCTCGCCCCCTGCACCTCTGACCTAGACCCTAGTTCTTCTATGCAAAAATAAATCCTCCGAAGCTCCTGCCCTCCCATTCCTCATTTTACCTTACTGTTCCCCAGCCCCCAAATCTATTATTACATGCCTACTTCCTGGCCTTTGCTCTTACTGTACCCACTACCTGGAGTCCTTCACCCTCAGTTCTCCCCATGCAGGGCTCCTTCCTCATAGCATTAATGATTACCTAATCACATTCTTGTCACTTCTTGAACCAGAAGCCCCACGAGGGCAAGACCAGGCCTTGTGGCATGAATTGTGCCAAGCCTGGTCAACACTTGTTGACTGACCAAGTGGTTATTCCTCCTTTCCTGGAAGAGGCCTCACCACCTCACTGGAAAGAAGAGGAAACTGAGGGTTTGAGGGGAACCCCCTCCCCACCCCACCAGGGCCCCTGCCGACTGCTCACCTGGCTCGGGGGGCCCATCTCGGGGCCTAGCAGGCAGTGGGCGGGGGCCACGGGGACGAGGGCCAGGCCTGGCCAGAGCTACAGGCCCCAGGAACTCGACGTAGGTGCCAGGGAAGTCGCCTCGCTGCCGTGTGCGCTCATTGAGACCGGGCATCCAGCCCACGTTCTGTGGGCAGCGCTCACTGCCCTCAGATACCCCCAGTGCCTGCAAGGCTGCCCGGCTCACCACCAGCACATCACCTGGCAGCAGCTCCAGGTCCTCTGGCCGCTCCCGGCGGAATGGGTAGAGCGCACGGTACTGGAAGCCCTCAGAGCCAGCCATGGCTAGGTGGGGTGGGATCTAGATGGTTAGGTAGGTTGCTTGGGGCCCCAGTGGCCCCATCAGCTGGGGCAGGGGGCCAGGAGGGTCCACTGGGTTGGCTTGGGGTACTCAGACCTCTATTCCCAAGTGTTGGTGACCCTGGAGGCAGATCAGGCCTTGCTCCCTATTATTCCATGACCCTGATAAGGGTCACTTATTGCTCTGTCCACCATTCGCCAATTGGTGGGAGGGGGTCGGCAGCGTGATCTCAGGTCACTCAGCCGCTGCGTCCCCCCTCAATCAGTAGGGCCACGCCAGGCTGCTCATTCCTTTACATGGGGGGCCATCGGTGCCCGAGACTGGCGGCTCTTCCAGCTGCGCCAGACGAGGGGCCCGAGGGCACTGGATGTCACCATGCTCAGTCAGGATGCTGACCTAGGGGAAGAGGAGCAGGGTAGTGTTAGCTCGGATGGATTCCTCCCATCCCCAACTAGGAGATGGGCCCACATCCGAGGTTGGATTCCCCGACTCATGGGGTAACCTGAGGCTGGTCCTTGCCCCTCTCTGGGTGTCAGTTTCCCCAGCTGTAAAATGGGTACAAACTGGCCCTTCCCCTGGGTTGTTGGGAGGAACCTGTCCCAGGCATGTTCAGTAAACAGGCTCTTTATCACTCCTGTTAAAGATGGAGAAACTGAGGCTTAGAGCAGGAAGGCTGCCATCAGACTACTCATTGGGCCAGGAAGGTAAACCCAGACCCACCCAACTGCAAGGCCCAGCAAAGAGGCACAGCCAGATAGTTATATTCAGGGCAGATAGGGTGCCATAGGGGACGCCTGGGAGGCTATGAGAGTCTGGAGGAAGGGTGAGGCCAGCAGGGGAGCAAAGGGGTAAGAAAGGAGGTCTACGCAGAGGGCCTGCACCTGGTCCAAGCAAATGGATCTCTGATGTCTGCAGAGGATTGAAAAGGGGGCTCCCCGCATGACTTATTGTAGGGGGTGGGGGAGGGGACAGTAGGTGGTCAAGACATAGGGAAGGGAGACCAAGGGGCCCTTAATCTCAGAGCAGACATGGAGCCAGGACAGAATTGATGGAGTTTTGCAGTTGCCAGTGGGAAGCTGCTGACTGTAGGGTAATGATCACCCTACAGGAGCCCCCAGGCTCAGAGAGACAGCTTCGTTTCAGCATTGCAGGTTCAGGTGTCCTGAGGGGGTGGGGGTGGGGAGCGGTACTTTTCAAGAGGGCGGGTCCTTACAGAGGACAGGAGGGGGCAGTGGCCAGAGGGAACAGAGTGTGCATGCAAAGGCTTGCAAAGGCTTGACAGGGGAAAGTTCCTTGCCAAGAGTTCAGGGTAGCTGTAAGAAAACAGCCAGCCACACAGGGCCTTCAGTACCAGAAGTTGTCGGTGCAAGGAGCACAGTTTGACCACGGGGTGGCCCTACTTACCCATTCCCTGCCCCCCTATTCGATAAGTGGGGAAACTGAGGCCCAGAGAGGGGACGTCCAGGAAATCGCCTGGATCCACTGGACTGCCCACCTCCACACCCGCGGTGTGCACACGTCTGCACACGCCCCTGAGCAAGCGCCGAGGAACCGGCGCTCCCCGAGTCCCAGAGGTGGGTGGAGGGACCGGCCTGGCTGGGGGCTCGGGGGCAGACTCAGGAGCTGCGCGCTCACGCGAGTTCAGACGCGCACTCGGTCTGCGTGGCCCCGGGCCCCGGTCTGCGGACCGGAAGTGGAATCGACCCCCGACATTCTTGCACCCGACTATGCCCCACACAATGCCTGGGCGCCCCTCCTCACTGCTTGACGCCCCATTTCGGGCAGGGCCTCCGTCCTTCCGCAGCTGCGGCTCCAGCCGCTCATCTCGACCTGGGCGCCCCGTTCTGCCTCCATCGCTGCCAGGTGGGGCCTGAGGCCTCCGTTCCCTGCGGCCCCCCCAGTCCCGCGGGGCCCCGGCAGCCTGTCGCGGCCAGGCTTCCCCCGCGGCCCCACGCTCTGCCCCGGAGCCCTGCATTTCAGCGCACCTCCTGCCCCGCCTGCCAGCCGGACTCACCTGGTCGTGGCCGCCCCCGCCCACGCCCCCGCCGCGGCCGCCGTCACGCGAGCTGAGACCGACCCGCGGCTCTACCGCGGCCGCCGTCGCCGCAGCCGTGGGATCCCCGCCTCCGTCGCCGCCGTGGTTCCGAACGACCGGGCCCGCCCCCAGCGGAAATAGCCGAGCGCGCTCGGGCCAGGCGGGTGACGCGAGGCCGAGGCGGAGCCCAGGGCCGTCCGAGTGCCTCCGGAAAGACCCGAACGTACTCCCGCGGGACTGGCTGAGGGGGCTGGGCTGGGGAGGGCGGGGAGAGCGGCGGCGGGCGGGCCTGGAGATCGCCGAGCGCTGCCGGAAACAGCCCACGGCTATTGGGTCGGACGGGCGCTCGCAGACAGGGCTCGGCGGGGCTGAGGAGGCTGAGCAATTCCGGAAATGGCCTAGCGTCCCACACAGCTGGACTTCTCAGGCTGGACCGGGCTCAGGTGCAGGGGCTTTTAGGGTAAAGCAAACACCAGTACAGAAAGGACCCAAAGCTGGTTAATTTTATTAAACTGACATCGGGGGTCCAGACGGGTATCTGACGGAGCTTTTAAGCGCAGAGCCCGTGATGGGCTACTCACAGGAGGGAAGGCAGCAGGAAGCTCAGTGCACACCCATGCAACCTTCAAAACCCACTTGAAATGACTGTGCCAAGGATGTTGTCATCCCACCCTCACCCTACTTTTCCCTTAACCCTTTCATAGCCCCTCATAAATTCAGACACAGTGGACCTCCTCTTTGTAAATGTGGGCTTTTATTCATTCAGCTTGGGAATGGAAGTCATGCACAGCCTAGGTCTAGCTCCAATACCAGGCAGGGCTGGGTGGGTGTCTGGATGGATGCAGAGTGGCCGCAGTGCGTGGAAAGTACTCTTACCATGCAAGGCACAGCCATGTTGTCTGACCTCCCTATGGAGTGTGGAGGTCTGAGATGCCCATACCCAGTGTCACCCAGCATGGAGTGAGGGTGTGGGCTGCGATTGGAGTCAGTTGTATCTGACACCAGACTTATCTGATCCAGCTCCCTTGCCAACAATGCTCAAGACAGGGCCTGGCTGCACGACTCAGGTCATCCTGGGATGTCTCCACCTTGGCCAGGCCTCAGCTTTTTCTCTGTAAAATGGGGATAAGACCACTTCCAGCCTTCCCAAGGCTGGCTGAGGGAGAAGCAATGAGTAAAAGCACTTGGCACACAGTAGGTGCTTAATAAATAGTCATGGGATTAGTTTTGTAAACACAAGGAAACTGAGGCACGGAGTGGGGAAACCATTTTCCCAGAACCACACAGTGAACTCAAGAGTCAAACTTGGGCCTCACTGCCCTACAGTTGGTTTTCTTACTCAAATTTCATCCCGTGGACACTCTGACACAAGAGGGAACTCCTAGGGGGTGTTTCGGACACATCAGGACTCAGGGTTTACCCTTGTGGTCATCAAAACATGAAATGTTATCCAGGGTGGACATTCTCCTCCTGTCCTGGCAGTGCCCTTTGAAGCCTGCACCTCCCAGGACAGCAGTGTCCCTCAGTGCAGTGGGCGATCCCTCTGCCTAGATCCAGTGAACTCCTAATCACCCACAAAAGCCCTAATTCCCAAACCCACTTCTCTATGACGAAGCCTGCAAGACTGCAGGCACTCTCTTGCAAGGCTGATCTAGGGATGGAGACTATGATGGTGGGAAGAAATAGCCTTCAGAATCCAGTCCATCATTGGAATTACTTTTTCTTATGGTGGAAGGGAATTATTTACGGACTCTCCAAGTCATAGCTAAACTAGACAAGGGCAGGTGAACAGGCAGGTGGGGGATGGGATCAAGTAACACACAAAAAACTTTAAAAGTACAGAAAGACCACACAAAACAAGGGACTTGTAAAAGTGTTTCCTTCTCAGCCCAGGGAGGGCAGGGTCTGCAATTGGGGCCCCAGTGCATGGGGCAGGACCCAGGCAGCCACCTTCCTAGTGGTGGCTCAGTCTATCGCTTATAAAAAGTAATAAATTAGTTGCAGGGATCTGCTGCTATTTACAATGCCTCCCTAACCCCTATTCCTGCCCTTCAGATCCTGAGGGCACCAGAACATGAGGGAGGTGCTCTCTCCACCTTCCAGCAAGGACCAAGATGGCTTCTTGCCTTCCAGGTGTCACAGGTTGGTGGCTACGTCTCCATCAATCATTACTTTATGGAAAAACCACTGCACAAAAAACGTGTGACTTGCAGATCAAGTGGGAGGGATTAGTCTTTTCCAGCAGGTCCAAGGGCTCCTGACACAGCCTCAGCACCCTCCACAGCAATCTGTGGCACCAAGGTGGGTGGCCCATTGACCTCCTCAGGTGGCTCATCAAAGCTCACCTCCTGCACAGCCTCTTGCTTCTTGAAGGAGTCTCGGCGCTCAGACAGATGCAACCGCCGCATGACCACGAGCTCTGAGTCCGGGCCACGGCCACGGCGTCCTGGTTCCCCGTCCAGCCGCTCACCTGTACCCAGCTTGTCAGCTGACTGGCCCCGGCGCAACCGTGGGGACCGGGTGGGAGCAGGTGGGTGCCCAGGCAGGGGTGAAGGTGAGCGGGGTGGGGGCGCAGACACCGGTGGGCAGGCCAGCGGGGAGGGCGGGATACTGCTGGTAGACTTGCGGCGGCCGGTCTTGGGACGGGGTGGCCCGAGTTTGGCAGCCAGGCCATGCAGGGAGCTAGGGCGGGTGTGGCTGGCGGTGGCAGGAGAGGCAGGGCTGCTGGAGCTTGGGGATGCACTGGGTGGGGATGCGCTGTCTGTGGGTAACAGGGAAGGGTCAGGGCCACTGGCCTTTGTGTCCCCAGCCTGGAGGTGGGGCCCTGGGGCAAAGTGCACCTACCAAAGCCCACATCCTTCCATGTGGTCACCCATCACACCTGGATTTCCCACCTCCTATTGTTTGCATGGGTTGTTCCCTTGGCCTAGATCTGGTGCACTAACTCCTACTCATACCTCAAAGCCACAGCTCCCACCCACCCATTTCTCACTTAATGACCCACCAGTTGTTGGGCCACACAACATTCGTTGTCCATCTAATGGACTGTCCCACAAGCTATGCTTTCTGGCCTTGCTTCCCATCCCCAGGCTGGTCTAAAGAAGAAAGATGGCACAGATACCCTCTACCCCATGAGATTAGGGTGGGCCAGTGGGCCAGAAGGAGTGATAGCAGTTGCAGTGGCCAGAAGGTAGGTAGAGGGGACTTCCTGGAGGGGTGGCCCTGGGGCCCTCCAGCAGGAGGACTTCCCTGTCTCCCCGCTGCTGTCCTAGCCTGCTAACTCACTGGGCCTGGAGATAACTGTGTGGCTGCATCTCACAAACCGGGAGCCCTCAGGATTGGGTCAAATCACTATCCTTTCCTGCCCCAGAACAATTTTTCCAACACATGCACTATACCCTTTCCTGACTCACTGATCCTCAATGGCTCCCTAATGTCCCCCAATTTAAGCCCAGCTCTTCAACATGATCCCCCAGCCTCCACATACTTCCTGTTTCATAATGTTCCCCCAGATGGACCCACCCTTCTCTGCGGCTGTACCTGTTTCTGACTCCCCACCAAGCTGCTGGTGATCTCGTTTTCTATGTCATGCCATTCCATCCTCCAAACTCTGCTTGCTCCCTTCTGGGACCCCTTCCTGGGTGGGCCCAGGGTGCACCTACCTGCTGGGGCATCAGGAGCTGGGCTGCGGCACGGTGTGGTAGGGCTGGGGGAGAGGCTGTGGGTGGGCGAGCCGGGAAGGCTCTCACTGGATGACAGGGAGTGGTGGAGGCCAGAGGAGAAGCTGCGGCTGGTGTGCAGCACTGATGACTGTTTGGAGATCTTCTTGAAGAGTGACTTGCGCCTGGGGGTGACAAACCCAAGTACTTAGGATCCCTGCACCCTCCCCCAACCCAGTGGCGGCCACAAGCACACCCTGGGGCTGGCAGCTCACGATCAGCTCACCGGTCCTGCGTCTCCCTTCTGCGACTCCTCTTGCTTCTGCGTGCCATGCGGCCCTTGGCCACATTCTTTCGGGCAGGGCCCACCTTGATGGATGTGTTCTCCAGGGCGGTGGTCCGCAGAGCAATCTTGTTGCCACTCTGTGGGAGGGAGGGCCAGAGTTTACCCGTGTGCCTGCACATCCACCCACCGGGTGAGCCAAATGGGGGGGGGGGGTCAGACACATGGGAGCCAAAGGGAGGACCAGGAGTGGCCGCTTGCGGGTGGGGGTGGGTAGATAGGGATGGCTTCCTTGAGGAGTCACTGCAAGAGGCAACATTAGGAGCTTAGGAAGGAAGCAGACACTGCGTGGAAGGGAGAAGAAGAATCTGGAGAATAAGGAGCTGAAGCCAGGGGCCGGGGTTTAGGGTTACAGAGCAATCCCAAGGGGGGACTATGGGACGATCTGGGGTCCCTGAGGATGGACAGGAGGTGGAGGTCTTGGGAGTCCCGAGGGGGCAGTGGGGACTATACCTTCAGTAACAACTCAACCACGTCCATGTGCACCAGCCCTAGGACTGACTCCCCATTGATGTGAGTGATGAGGTCCCCTGCTCGCAGGCCCGCCTCC